TATATAGAAAATGCATACTTTAATGGTATATATGAAAATGTATATTACAATTAAAATATCGGGATGCATAAATATTATACAATTTTATAGATAATGCATCAATAAATAGTCCAAAACACATAAAATGTGCACATATTAATTTTTAATTATTATATAAATTATATTCTATTTTACTATTTTTTACCTTTTTACATTAACAAAAAAAGTCAACCAAATATTAAATTCTCAAATGTAAATTAAAATATCAATTAATAATTTATAAAAATATATAATTTAAATTTAAAATATATCAAATTTTTTAAAATTTATAAGATATATATATAGATATATATATATATATTGCAAATTTTGAATTGCCAATATAATTATTAATATTTTTGTTTCTATAGTTTTTTCTAAAATTAAAAACCAATTTTGGTATAAATTTTGATTAGTAGAGTTGATAGGTAATATTTAATATTATATTCCCAAATATTTTGTAAACAATTTTATTTTTGTAAATATTTAGTATGTTGTTATTTAATGTAAGGTGAATTAAAATATTAATAAAATATATATATATATATATATATATATAATATTTTATTTGCATAATTTTTTGACATTAAAATCATCTTTTGATTTTTATGTGAATTTGATAGATTATTTATTCCATTAGTTTATAAAATATCAATTTTGAATATTATTCTTTTTAATTTTTACTTTGAATTGTTAAACATATATATGTATTATTTATTTGGATTATGAGTAGTATGTAGATACAATATTTAATCAAAGTTTATTTAATTTCCATTATTAACACAAAAGTTAAGTTGGTCTAGTGGTTTAGGAGTTGATTTATAACATGTGTGTGTTGCGTGTTGTGTTGCGTATTGGCCCGTATTGCATTATATTAGACTAATACGCATCGATACGGGTCAATACGTATCTACATCACCCTGATATGCACAACTTATAGGATACACCTCCAGTCATGGCATATCGTGTGTCGGGCAGGGTTAATACCAATATGATACACCCCTTGTTGGGTGTACCGTGTCAATATTTAAATATGTGTAGCTTGTGTCGATCTCCCTATTTTCCAGTTCAGCTTTTGCTTCATCAAGTGTAATTTTGATACGTTTGCATCAATGCCAATGGTGACCCAAAAGGCCACAATAGGCACAAACCTTAGTGAGGGATTCATAGGTGAACTCACTATTTTTAAAACCGGATTGGATCGGAAAACCGGGAACCGGCCGTTTTCCTCCAGACCGGTTCCATTTTCCTCCAAAACCGTTGATTTTGGTAAGCAAACCGCTGAACTGGTCGGTTAACCATTCGAATCGTTCGAACAGTTTTGACCATTTTCCAATTTTTTAATTTTTTTTGTCAAAACAGGCCGGCCATTCGGGTCGAACGGTAGGGCCGTTCGAACCGATAACCGGACCCCTGACCGGTTCGGTCACTGGTTCATTTTTAAAAACCAAGGGTGAACTTGATCCATTTTTGTTTACCATCAACCTTTACAAACATGCCCTTGAATAATGTTCAATGAATATCCATGACGATTTGAACCTTCGTGTACAAATCTTAGATTAGATGACCTTCTTCTATCTCATGTTGGTTTTTGACCACTTCTCCCGCCTTCATGCCAAACGTCTTAACTCTAGTATCTTCTACCAAGGATCTCAGGATAAGGTGAAGTTAGAGCCATATTTTTTGATGATACAACTTTTCAATCGCCCTATCCTTTGAGTAAGGGTGTCAATTGACCGGTTTTGGAATGGACCCTATCCAATCTAAAATCAATTTGGATAGACCAACAAGACATATTGGATTGGACCAATCTGGTCCAAAATATTTATTAGATTGGATTGGACCTGGTCTGTTTGTAACAAATTTATATTGGATTGGGTTGGATTAAGCCAATATTTGGTCCATTGATATAAGATAAAAATATATGTGTCAATGGACCAGGTTTGGGTTGAAAACAATCTAAATCAAAATGAATTTGAACAAATTGGACGGTCCAAACATTGAATTGGACTGGTCCAAAACATTCATTGAATTGAATTGGACCTGGTCCATTTATAATGGACTCACATTGAACTGGATCGGATTGGACCAAATCCAGTCCAATTGACACTCCTACCTTTGAGTCAGTCCAAGGAGCGATCATAAGCAAACTTGCTCTAAAGAACCACAATCCCCATTCAACACATTTTGACACTCATTTAAGTAGTTGTTCGGGACATTGTTGAGCTGGTCTAGAGGCCCACAACCACTTGTCACAGCTCGGCCATGTCGTGGTAGTCCGGCCGAGCTTTGATATTATTGTAATCCCGCCGACCACATCAGCTATGCGCCACTTGGATAAGCTCGCCTAGTGGATAAGGATGGGAAGACAACTCTGTCGAGGAGTAAGACTCTACCCCCTGTAACCTCGGCAGGGAACTCTATCCCGATTTCCTTGGAACCCTACTCTGACCAGAATACGGACCCTCCGGCTATAAAATGGTACTCCAAGCTCGAGGTAAGGGACCCCCAACTTCTGACACCCATACTTCTACTTAGATCGGACCAGCACCCTTATAGATCGGCCCGACCGTCTACTACCTCCTACTGACTTGAGCGTTGGAGTACTTACCCGGGGATAACTCCTCGGGCCTCTGACTTCTTCCTTGATCACAGGTCTTGAAGCGCGGCCTCGTCCTTGAAGCTCGGCCCTGCCTTGCTAGCAAGGACTATCTTGTTGCCCTCCTTAGTTCGTGCACCACCTTGGATTGAGCAGCATCAGATTGGCGTCATCTGCGGGAACTTACAAAAAGCTCTCCCAAAAAATTTCTCGCCGCCAGCTTCAAAATCAATTAAGATGCCTAAGAACCAGTCTGAACGATCAGTAGGCCATTCCCTGTCTCGGCAGAACCGACACCACGACTCCTCGCATCAAGAAACCCCACAACCTTTGGCTGCAGTGAATCCAGCGCAATTCCAAGCCATGCAAGAGAAGGTCGATAGGATCTTCAAGTTCATATAGACACTGGGGTTTGCTGTGCCACCCAACCGGGCCGTCCCCCCTCACGCCTCGACGTGCACGAAGGATGATCCTCGGACTGAGGACCCCAAAGCGCGATGGTCAGACGTAAGGGGAGAGCAGCCTGAGTGTATGAGGCAGGACACAACCCGAAGGCCCACCTCTATTGCCCGCTCCTGTGGACAGGACCACCATAGCCTGACACGCCAGTTAGTGYGCATCCCCGCCAAAGAAAGGCTCGGCAAAAGGACGTCGCCTTTTGTGGTCTCTGTTGCCGAGTCAATTTCGGTCAAGGATCTCCCCACACGACCCAAGAGGGAGGCCATACACACTACGGCCCCGGACAACAGAGATGCCGAGATCAAAGAGCTTCGGTAACGTTTGGAAGAGTTAGAATGCAGTCAGACCCACAAGAGCGTAACTCTCGCCATAGACCAACCTGTGCAGGCCACCGCACATATCACCAAGGAGCCACCTTTCGTGCAGGACATCGTAGATGGGATACCCCCTGCTGGATGGCGAGCCCCCCAATTCGACAAGTACAATGGGAACTCTGATCCTTTCGACTATGTCACGATGCTCAAAACCCAGATGATGCTACATGGTGCGCCGGAGGGACTAATGTGCAAAGCCCTTGTAATCACGCTGTAGGGCCTAGCCTTGGTGTGGTACTCCTCTCTGCCGCCAAGGTTCGTAACATCCTGGGCCCAACTGGAGATCCGAACGGACAGCCTTATGCAGGTTCGACAGAAGATGGCGGAGTGGCGAGGTTCAACAAAGAAGCACTCCAAGTCAGGGACTTAAACCAATCAGTTGCGGTGACAACCATACAACACAGACTCCACCCTTCCCCATTCAACTTCTCCATCTCCAAAAATCCTCCCCAGACGTTGGCCGTGCTAATGAGTCAGCCCAAGAGGAACGAATAACGGATGAAGCTCAGCAACCGCCGCCCCGAGGCCCCCCAGCCGACGTCATCCACGTTATATCAGGAGGAGCCACCGCCGGAGGGGAAAGCAGCTCGGGTTGGAAAAGATATGCTCGACTATGCGAGATCGACGACCGAGGTCACATGAGGAGGCATGACACATCTATCACCTTCACTGATGACGACCTCCGAGGGGTCCAGACACCGCACGACGACGCCTTGGTCATCATAGCCGAAGTGGACAACTTCGAGTTGCGGCGGATCCTAGTCGACACAGGAAGATCTGCCGACATATTGTTTGAAGATGCATTTGAAAAGCTCGGCATTGACAAAGAACGACTTACATCAGTTAGCACTCCCTTGATGGGATTTTTGGGAGAGTCCCTCTAGCCCACTGGGAGGATAACTCTTCCCCTCTTGATCGGAGATGGCGATGTCACTACGACGGCCATGGTAGACTTCATCGTGGTGCGTTGCCCCTCCTCTTACAATGTGATCCTCAACAGGCCAACCCTCAACACCCTGCAGGCTATAGTCTCAACATACCACATCGCCATGAAATTTCCAACCAAGTATGGCAAAAGGGTGGCACGCGGAGACCAGAAAACAACGCGACATTACTATCAGCTATCCTGCCAAGGAGCACGTCCAACGACCGAGACGTTGATGGCAGAAGCATATGACCTGCGTAACGAGGTAAAGGCACAACACGGCCAACCTGTGGAAGACCTCGTCCAAGTCCCCCTATTTGAAGATGATCCCGAAAAGACGGTCCAAGTTGGCTCCCTGCTAACTGACCACCTCCGAGAGGAACTTGTGCGACTACTGAGAAATAATGCCGACGTGTTTGCTTGGTCGGTAGAGGACATGCCTAGGATCGACCCCGAAGTTATCACACATCGGCTGAACGTCAACCCCTGTTACCGACCTGTGAAGCAGAAGAAGAGAAACTTCACCACAGAGCGGTGGCAAGTGATCACTGATGAAGTGTAGAAGCTGCTCGATGCCGACTTCATTCGGGAAGTCAAATACCCTGATTGGCTGGCCAACGTAGTGATGGTTAAGAAGGCCAACGGAAAGTGGGGAATCTGCATTGACTTCACCGACCTGAATAAGGCCTGTCAAAAAGACAGCTTTCCCTTGCCGAGGATCGACCATCTCATTGACGCAACAGCAGGACATGAGCTCCTAAGCTTCATGGACGCCTTCTCAGGATACAACCAAATCCGGATGGACCCGGATGACCAGGAGAGAATGGCCTTTATCACTGACCGCGACCTGTACTGCTACAAGGTAATGCCCTTTGGCCTCAAAAACGCCGACGCCACTTATCAACGGCTGGTGAATGAGGTATTCAAAGAACAACTCGGTAGGAACGTGGAGGCATATGTCGACGACATGCTCGTGAAGAGAAAAAAGGCTGAACATCACCTACTCGGCCTCTGCGAAGTCTTCAATACACTTAGAGAGTACAAGACGAGGTTAAACCCAATCAAGTGTGCCTTCGGGGTTGTCTCCGGCAAGTTTATGGGGTTCATGGTAACATAGAGATGAACCAAAGCAAATCCAAAGAAGATAAAGGCCATCCTTGACATGCCATCCCCCTGACCCATAAGGAGGTGCAACGATTCACCGGAAGAATAGCCGCCCTTGGCAGGTTTATGTCCAAATCCGCGGACCGGTGCCTCCCTTTTTTGAAAGCCCTCAAACGGCCAAAGGACTTCCACTGAACAGAAGAGTGTGAGCAGTCTTTCCAGAAGCTGAAGCAGTACCTGAGCTTGCCGTCCCTCCTGACTAAGCCGAGCAGAGGGGATGAGCAATTGCTCTACCTCTCGGCCGAAGATGAGGTCGTCAGCTTTGTACTCTTCAAAGAAGAGGACTGGGTACAGAGGTCGATCTACTACATTAGTAAGGTCCTCAGCGGCGTAGAGACCCAGTACTCCAATCTTGAAAAGTTGGTTATGGCCCTCGTCACCGCGGCTAGAAAACTTAGACCCTACTTCCAGGCCCACAGCATTCGAGTACTCACCAACGAGCCCCTTAAGCAGGTGCTACAAAGACCGGAAGTATCGGGCCGCCTGGTCAAGTTGAGTGTGGAATTAAGTGAATTCGACATCGAGTACGCACCCCGACCGGCAATCAAAGCCCAGACCTTGGTAGATTTTATAGTAGTGTACATTTACCACCGAGGAGCTGGCCCCACTGCCTCCAATATCGACTCTCCATGTAGATGGCTTGTCAAACCAGCATGGCAGCGACACCAGCCTTATCCTCCTTGGCCCGAACAACGCAATGTTGGAACACGCCCTCAAATTTGAGTTCAAAGAATCCAAAAATGAGGCCAAATATGAGGCCCTGATTGCTGGGCTCCGCCTTGCTTTGGATCTCGAGGCCCGATAAATTGAGGCCTTTAGTGACTCACAGCTCGTGGTCAACCAAACCCATGGTCAGTTTGAGGCTCGGACTCCCTCTATGTTGAGCTACCTACAAAAGGTACAACAGCTCATTCGGTAGCTTGAGCATTTCGATATCCAGCAGATCCCTCGAGTCGAGAACGCCCGAGCCGATGCCCTTTCGAAGCTGGCTAGCTCGCCGCAAACTGACCTTGAATCAGCCGTTCGGTTAGATATACTGGCCCAACCAAGCATCGTACTAGCAACCATCCTCATTCTTTTAGTTTTGCATGGCCCATCTTGGATGAACCCCATAATCGAGTATCTTCGCTAGGACACTTCCCCGAAGGATCGAGCAGAAGCAAAAAGGCTCTAACATAGAGCGGCCAGGTATTGCCTAATACAGGGTCAACTCTACTGCCATTCCCACATGCTTCCATACCAGAAGTGTTTCTCCCCAACCGAAGCAGACTACGTCCTTAGGGAGATACAAAAGGGCATTTGTGGAGATTACCCTGGTGTGCGCACACTTGCCCATAAGGCACTCCGGCAGTACTACTTCTGACCGATGATGAAGCAGGATGCCACCCAGTTAGTTCGGAAGTGCCATAGTTGCCAGCGTGACTCTAATCTCCATCATCGGCCTGCGGCCCCTCTGAAGTCGAACACCAGCCCATGATTGTTCGCCTAATGGGGAATGGACATCCTCGGCCCCTTCCCCTCCGCAGTTGCGCAGAAGAAGTTCCTTCTCGTAGCAATAGACTACTTCACGAAGTGGGTAGAAGCCGAAGCTCTGGCACGCATCACTGCCCACAATGCCCAAAATTTCCTCTGGCAGGGAATTGCCTACCACTTTAGTATCCCTCGCGTGCTCATCATAGGCAATGAAACACAGTTCACCGACAAGAAGTTCAAGGCCCTCTGTGATGACTTGAGGATCGATCACTGAACTACCACAGTACACCGACCTTAGAACAACAAACGGACCGAAGTAACCAACCGCATCCTACTACACGGCCAGAAAACACGCTTAGATCAAGCCAAGGGAAGGTGGGTTGAGGAGCTACCGAGCATTCTCTGGGCCTACAAGATGACCCCACGAACTGTCACCGGGGAGACTCCTTTCAGCCTGACCTACGGGCTGAAGCCATGATCCCCGTGGAGATAGGTTCCCCAACCCTTCGGATTGAACTATTCAATGAGGGGCAGAATGACGGAGATCTACACGTAGAGTTGGACCTAGTAGAAGAAGCTCGGGACCGAGCACATGTGAAGATGGTTGCACAATAGCAGAGGATGGCATGACATTACGATTCCAAGGTGAGAAGACGCAAATTCAAGACAGGCAACTTCATCCTGCGCAGAGTCATAGTCCCCACACCATGAGAAGGAAAGCTCGGATCGATTTGGGCAGGGCCGTACAAAATCACCAGAGTCCTCGGACCGAATACTTATAGATTCGAAGACCTCAAAGGTTGGCCGATATCGAGGAGTTGGAACTCGGGAAATCTCAGGATGTACTACTAGTAGACCTACAAGCAATAAAGTTTCTAAGCCACATCTCTGACCCTGAGGAGCGCACACGCCCACTGCACACACCACACATGCACATGATAAGCCGCACTGCAAACCGAGTTGACTCTGCCGATCCCCGAACGGCGAGCCCATCAGGCCCAGCTTGGCAGTTTATCGCCGACCAAGCTACCTGACTCAACTGACAACAGCTGAGCCTGAACGTAGAGGAAGAACGCCCCCGCCCACCAAGGCCTGAGGACGGTCGAGGAACTCCGCACAACCGCCAGCTTAACGGCTGAGCTAGCTAGGAAACGGCTAGCCCTAGAAGGGCCCCAAAGGCACCCAAGACTAGAAACTGAGCATTCCATGGTTGAGAGCTCGGGAACCGAAAGATCTCAGACAACTACTCCTCGGTCGGCACAAGACTGGGGACGTCGAGGCATAGCTCGGCCGGCTATACCTCGTATACAACTACACCTTGGTCGACACAAGACTGGGGACGCTATGCCTCGGTCAACTACATCTCGGTTGACACAAGACTGGGGACGCCGAGGCATAGCCCGACCGGCTATGCCTCGGCCAACAAACTAAAATCGCAGAAGTACGAGGTCGCCCAAGGCATAACCTGCCCGGGCCCATGTGTAGCCCGGCCAGACACACCTCGGCCAATAGAAGAAAATTGTACAACAAAATGTCGAGGCATAGCCTAGCCTGGCACACGCAATAGCCTGGCTAGACATGCTTCGGCTGGAAAAAGAAAAAGGCACAAGTATAGCAACATATGCTCAGACAAAGAAACACTAATATTCAACTCAAAATGGTCCATTACATCATTTAAGACTCGGCATATCGAATCCAATGAAAAAAAACAAATGATAGAAACAACTGCTCAGTCCTTGGCGACAGAGCCAGTAGCACTATCGACTGCTTCAACCTCGTCACCAGCCTCTTCACCAGCTCCCTCGGCAGATCCTTGTGGAGTATCCGAATTGAAAGCACCCCAACCCTACAACTCCTCGGCCAGCTCCAGATGGCGATGAAGGATCCTTCGTTGGAAGACATTGAACCCAACTACGAAGGAAGCCTCAACGTACTCATCCATTTGTACCTGCATCTCCTCCGACGCCTTGTACTGATCGACTGCCTCCTCGCCATCCTCCTACCTCAACTTGTCCCGTTTTGCCTTAAGCTCGTAGATCTCTCGCTTCAGCCCCCAGACTAGGCTGGCCTGCTCGGCCAGCTGCGCCTTCATCTCGGTCACCTCCCTCTCTAACGCGGCCGACCGCTCCCCGGAAGCCTGAAGCTCGGCCAATTGGGCCTTCTGCCGCAGATACTCGGAGTGTTCCCACTCGTACGTTGATCGGAGGTCTCGGAGACGGTCAACCAACGTGACCGCCGTACAAGAATTCTGTAGAAGAAGATGATAAGTATACAAAAGAGAGCAAAAATGCAAGGAATAAGAGAAGGGATCTCACTTGGGCAGCAGACCGAAGAAGGGCACACTCTAAGGCTTCGCTGCCGACCCCGACCGATTCCCGAACTATCGACATGGTCATGATCCCCCGCAACAACTTCTCGAGGACCCCAGGTGTCTCCAGGTTGTCATCAACATGAACCGACCACCGCGGTATGTGCAGACCCAAGTTGTTGCCTGCTTCCGTGCCCGACACACCTATAGGACGACGAACCCCTTCAGGGTCAACCATGACGATGTTGTCCTCCTCGGCCTCCTGCTGCCGGACTCTCCTTTGCCGATGATCCGCCCTATCCGTGGATCGTGGCCGCTCTTTTGTCTCGGGACAAGCCTCCGATTGCTACCAGCTTGCGCCTGCATCTGCCGAAGTGCCTTCATCTGGTGTACAATCTTCCTCGTTGGCCATACTTATACCTGCAACACAAGATACCCAAGATAAGTAGGAAGTGGGCAAGGTAACGATAACTCGGTGAACAAATAGTAAAAGGAACAGACCGGCCACCCTCTCCATCAGCCCAGTGAGCATCAGCATCTCCATGCATGTGTACACGATAGCATCAATCTCGTGGATCATGCTCAGGGACGACCTCTCTTCCCAAGTGAGCGCTGACCATTGGGGCTACGACAGAGTCGTCCTCGGCTTCCGCAGCTCGGCAGGAAAAGGGAGACCCCCGGGAATGCGCACGAAGAAGAACGACTCCTTCCAGTGCTTCACAGAAGAAGGGGCCCCAACCATTGATCGAATATTCCGCCGAGCGAAGTAATAGTACCGTTGCTGGTGGTGTTTCAGCTAGAGCATAAAGCTCACCATCCCCAGGGTTAGTTCGATATCGCGGATGGCACAGTAGGACATAAGGCCGAGCAAGAACTTAAAGGAGTTCGGCATCAGCTTCACCGACCACACCCTTTACCTGTTTAGCACCTCGGCAAACCCTTCGCTCAATGGGATCCTCAGCCCAGCCTCCAAGGTGTGCTCATAAACGCATTGCTCACCAGACGGAGCATCAGTGGCCATCTCCCTGGGTAGCGGACACCTCATTTGGTATTCCGCGGGAATGGCGTACGTAGCTCGATTCCGAGCCATATCCCCGGGCGCCAAGATGTAGGGCATGGTGCCGAACTGACGACTTGCCCATAGAGGAAGCTCCGCCTCCATCCCAGAGGGACCAACCTCATACTCCTCAACTTTGGCAGTGATATCCCCGGGTGCCAAGACGCAGGGCGTGGTGCCGAACCGACGACATGCCCGTAGATGGAAACTCCGCCTCCATCCCGGAGGTGCCAATCTCAACCCGTAGAGGAAGCTCGTAATTCGAGCCGTGAGAAGAGCTGGAACTAGAACTACTGGAGGACCCGAAAGAGGAAGAGGACCGACAAGATGAAAATGACATACCGGGCAATTTACAGAGCTGAGGAGTGAAAGCCACCGAACTATTTTCCGAACTATTTGACCGAACAACCTGCCGAGGAGTGAATGCCAAATACCTTCTTGCAAGCAATACTGAGGATAGGGGGTCCCCCCCGTCTTCCCTTTTATAACCATCAGGGGCACAAACCGAGGAGAGATCAACGGTGCAGATGAAGCACCTCTAACAATGCCTTGGAAGGCCAATCGACGCAACCAATAACGTGCGATGGGAAGCCTCGGAAACCGAAGCGGCACCCTCGGTAGGCAGTGGTTACGCCCATTAATTGCGCCAGTTTGACAACACTATTGGTCCAACCTTCGACGCAGAGACCCGTAGTATCGGTCCAGCCTTCGATGCGGATCCTCGTCTAGGCTGTTGAAGGCTACAAGGTCGCACAGTAGTCTGGCCGAGCACTCCCCCTCCTCGACAGCAGAACTGGGGGAGTGGTTCGGGAACCAAAATTTTGGTTCTTGTTTAAGTTCTGCAGTCGACGATCGGAGTACTCCTCTGCAACGACCGACATGGCGCGGACAATATGCATGCCCGGATGTTCCTCAGCCGGATGTTCCTCAGCCGGGCAACGAACCTAGGGAACCTCGTCCCTCGACTTCGGAACTGGGGGAGTGATGTTGGGGACATGGCTGAGCTGGCCCAGAGGTCCACGACCACGTGTCACAGCTCGGCCAGATCGTGGTAATCCGATCGAGTTTCGGTATTATCGTAGTCCTGTTGACCACGTTAGCTATGCGCCACACGAATAAGCTCACCTAGCGGATAAGGATGGGAAGACAACTCCGCCGAGGAGTAAGACTCTACCCCCTATAACCTCGGCGGGGAACTCTATCCCGATTTCCTTGCAACCCTACTTTGATCAGGATACAGACCCTCCGGCTATAAAAAGGTACTCCATGCTCAAGGTAAGGGACCCCCAACTTCTGACACCCATACTGCTATTTAGCTCGGACCAGCACCCTTATAGCTCGGACCAGCACTCTTATAGCTCAACCCAACCGTCCACTACCTCCTCTTGACTTGAGCGTCGGAGTACTTCCCGGGGATAACTCCTCGTGCCCCTAACTTCTTCCTTGATTATAGGTCTTGAAGCGCAGCCTCGTCCTTGAAGCTCGGCCCCGCCTTGCCAACAAGGACTATTTAGTTACCCTCCTCAGTTCGTATACCACCTCAGATTGAGCAGCATTAGTAATCTTCCATAAAGATCTCCAATTGTCCACCATCTGTAAAATTAATATTGATACCATGGTGGAGATTGCACATTGCTTTCACATGTTTTTCAAGGGTTTCTTTCGTGGCTTATAGGCAAGGGAAGATTTTACCTTTTCATAGGTGGTTTAATACGTCCCCTGCTCTATCCCTACTGTTTATATAGTCTTAAAGCACCCTTAAGTTTTATGACAATTGACTAACTCTACTCCCATCATTAGCATTCGTTAATGTTTCATCACAATTTGTGCACATGTGACACCATGTGATGTATAAAAAATTTTTAAAACCCAATATTACCCTTTGGTGGGCAATAGTTAAACCTATACTCAGAAAAATTGTTGTGATTTAAAACTATGATAGGCCCAATTAATGGTTCAATGTTATGCTGCTTTGAGAGGTTAGCTCAGATTATAGTGAGTTGAGCTGAACTGAACTCCAGCCTCACAAACGCGTTTCCATTGTCTAGGAATAGGGCCAAGGTTCAGATTGGAAAAACTCTACTTCTTAGGCCAGATTCCAATGTCTAGGACATTGATTATTACATTGGATCCATAATCAGATTCCGACCAAAGACCCCAACTTTCTTAAATAGAAGAGGCAAAGATTTGGAATTATTCATTTTTTGTCAACATTTGGATGGTTGATAAAGAAAATTATATCACTTAAAGGGCATTTGTGTCTTTTCAAATGCCACTTAAAGATTGGTTAATAATAAGTACTAAATTAACATATTTTGAAAGTTTGAATACTAAATTGCCGCATTTTAAAATTTGGGGACCAAAACGGCACTAGGCTCAAAATGCAGGGTAATAATCGGGAATTTCCCTTTTATTTTTTCTAAGTTATTATAAATCCATTGTAAATTGCCTTGGATAATTTCACCCTTCTAATTTAGTAGTACAACTAGCGTTCCAGTGGAATTGTGGAAGTAATTTAATAAAATGATAAAACAAAAACTATGTGCTTGAAAAAGGTGAGGGGAAAAATTTAGCAATTTCAATAAAATGATAAAATTTATCGAAGTTTTTATCAAAATCGGATTTAGTCGGTGTAAACCCCATTTGAACAGCTTTAATAACTTTGCTTTGGAAACGGAGATATTCTAATGCAAGGTTGTTCTAACGACTTTTGCTTTGGAAATGAGATATTCTAGTCTCATTTTTATCACTATTTTTGTAGTTAAAATTATTTTAAAGAATTTTTATTTACCAATAAGATATTTGAATAAAAGCAACCAAAGTTAATTATACATTTAAAAAAATAGAAACAAGACAGAAAGAGAAAGAATAAGGAAATGTACAAAAGAAAAAAAATGTAATACCAAAAAGATACCTAGAATTAATTATTAGTCAATATACCCTTGAAGGCGTTCTCACAGGCTAAAACAGACAAGGCGTTCTTACTTAAATCCCAATAGTCCAAATTTTTAATCACCCTGCTTCTTCCATGGTTTCTCTCCTTGCTTCCATACCTGTATCATCTTTGTTTCTGATAATTACATGCAACTTACCTTGGACTATTAGAAAAATGGATGGGCATATATTTTTCTTTTTTATGAGAATTTAATTGCCCAAAAAAACTGGCTAAGAAATAAGCCAATGCACATAACCAATTCTGCGGTAGTTAAAAGTTTGGTTACAAGTTGGAAAGAGGTTCATGTATCAGCTGAGTTACAACTTGCAACAACATAGCAATATTCCAATTAAACAATACATCAAGAACAATTTCACAAGTGAGGATTGATACCAAAATAGTGATATGATAATATTACAGAAACATTAACTGCAAAAAATTTGCTACATGGCATGAAACAGTGGATAAAAGAAGCAATCAATACCAGATGCTGCTTAACACATAGCTGAAAACGTATAGTGGGTAAAACCAAAAGATCTGCAAGGGAAAGGCCAATCATACAGAATCAGAATGCTAAAAAATCAAAATAGATTGGAAGAGAATGCAAATACAAAAAATATAACTAAACAAATACAAAAAAGAAAGAAAAAGGACACCTTAGAAATACCACAAAAATCACTACCTACCTTGGAAAATTCATCACTACAACAATTTAAATGTAGTGAAAAGAATTAGTTAGTTGTAAAAACCAAATAATCTTATTTGACCCCAATATACTATATTGCACTAAACAGAATGGAATGGTGAAACAGGACTCATGTAGCCAACCCCATATAGTTGGGCTTAGATGATGAATCCCACCATACTATATATAGAGAGATGTAGATGCGAATGCAATCCTTATTTTTTTTTTATCAGCAGAAAAGGAATTTTAATAATGAAAGATTAGGAATTACAAGATCTGGGGTGTAAGTTCCATTCCAAATCAGCAAAGATTACAGATTTGCCAAAAACGTATGCCGTCTCACAGCCCGTTGTTTGGCCAGAAAATCTGCCATTCCATTTGCTGTTCTTCTTACCCACTTAAAGGAAACATCCAGTTCTATTGTTAGGCTTACAATCTCTGAATTTATACCTGAATACCCAAGGAATCTGGGCATTAACCCCTGCAGTAGACTAACCAGTTCAGCTGTCAATACATCACTATGCTCCAAGGGTCCTGAATATTGAGCCACCACTCTTCCTTCTTTATCTCTGAAGACACCCCCCTACCCCCCACCATTCCATCACTTCCCTTGCCTTGTCTATAGCCGATAGCGCCACCTCTTTCCAGGTTCTCAAATTATCATTTAGTGAAAATATTTTGAAATCATCCAAAGTTTTCACCCAATGTGCAACTTTCAACTCAACTAACTCGAGGATTTCTGCTTGGGTCCTACTCTTAAGTCTTGTCATTGAAAATACTAACATCTCACTCTTAATATGTGGTTTATCTTAATGCAACAACATGTACCATTTCTTTTAATGGGAATTTATACGTAGCAAATTGATAGGTATCTGCTAAAGAGTTAACTTTTTAACCAATACCCATAAAATTAATCTCTACGCACTCTATTATATTCTTTTTCTAAATTAATACAATGTATGTGACRATTCTTCCTTTTCTTAAGCTTATCTAACAACTATGAAGCAATATACCCTTGACTTGTGATGGTTAGCCTCCCTGTAATGAAGCTAGGTAAATCTTTGATATCCATTTTCTTTTAATGCAGATGCAATCGCTTGAAACTGTTTTTTTTTTTTTTTCTTTTCATTGATTAGCTGCAATGCTAATTTTGAGCTATTAGGACCAATTACATGGTATTCTTTCTCTAACATAGAAATGTTCACTATCTCATCTATATCATAGAATTGTATAATCACAAGAAATTCATATATTAAAATAATAAGAAATTGAGGCAACAAATGGACTATTCAGATATCTTATGATCCAGAACCAGCCAAGAATTTCTACTGGCTGGTTAAAGTTGAGGAGCTATAAAAATCTGACTAAACTGTAGACTGATTAGTTGAAATGCAATTCTGAAACAAGTTCTAATTGTAACCAATAGGCCCTACAAACACACATTGCCATGTGCACATACCATGAAATATATTTTTGCAATCCCACCAAGGGGGCAAAGATCTTTTGAACCAAAGTTTTGGCATTCATCAAGCAAAATCCATTGTAGCGTTGGGAAAACAACTGAGTTTAGAATAAACAAGCTGCAACAGAGAGAAATTGAAAATTTTAAGTAAATTGGTTGCAACTGTGAATATAACTTAACCAAGATACTTCATGTGCAATAAACTTTACATTCAACTGAATAATGACCAAAAGAATTAAAAATCTATACAAGTAATTGCATTTGTGCATAGGGTTCCAAAAGAAAAATGAATAGCATTCAGTAAAAGAAGAAAGGGAGTGTCGTGCCACGGGCTAGGCTGGTCCATGGGCCAGGTCAGGCTATGGACCAGGCCAAAGCTATTTATTTAAAAAAATTGAAAAAAACTTAAAATTTTAATTTTATATGAATTTTGATATATACAATTGCTTATATATACAACAACTAATAAATTAGTATAATAAAATTGAAAACAATTGTTTATTTTATTAATATATTATATTATATATTATTATGTAATTATATAATTATAATTTATATAATATATTATAAATAATATATGGACTGTATCGGGCTGGGCCACGGGCAGCATGACCCGCTTGGTCATGCCATGCTGGCCCGGCCCGTGGACCTAAAACCCCAGGCCTGGCACGGCCCACGGACCGTCGTGCCGGGCGGCGGGTGGAAAGTAAGACCATGCCAACATATAGAGCAAATAAAATTAATAAATTTCTTAAACCATCACCAGTAAATTATTCAGTGAAGAGGAGAGGGCCATACCAGCAGATTTCCAGAAGAAGCAGACTGCGGAGCTTGCTGGAGCACATGTTGCTTTCTCTGGGCATCCACAAAGTTAGGTGCAACCGCTGCAAAGTTCTAATCCTTTGTAGTATGACCAGAAAATGTGCTAGCAACTTGGCCCTTGTCTGAAACCGAGTTCAAATTCCCACTTGGTAAGCTTCCCTGCAATGGGTTTCCCAGAATAGTGGTTTCTGTTGGGGGCACAACATTGAGATTGTATGGCTTGGCCCCATAAAAAGATGCAGAACCAGCAACTGCATGCCAGAAAGGAATGAGTTGCGCACCTCTTTGGCCGCTGTTGAGAGAGAAACAAATGTGGTACCCAAATTTTTTTAACACCAGATCATTAGAGAACTTTTGGTACATCGCCCAAGTGGACACTACATAAAGAAAATGACACATACCTGGCYAGGCGTCAAAGATCCAGAACTCCCATCCATGGACACAACAGCTTGAAGTGGTGGCATGTATCTGCTTATGAAGGTGGGGGTAATTTCTTAGCTATGAAATATTTATTGTTACGGTTACAATGATAAATAACCAAAACATCCAGGGAAATATAACGAGGTAATCGGATTCGCACCCAAAGAAGTAAGCCCGCCTGGCCAGCCCGCTATAATCATCGGCAACGGAAAAGAGGTGAATTGAGCTGAAAGAGAGAGGAAATTATGAGAAAAAGCAAAGATAAGGAAAAAAAAAGGAAGCCACTCAATGCGATAACGTGGGGTCAATAAAACAGACACCCTGCATTGCAAAAATTGGAACTTCAAGTAGGTTTACCAGGTTTCTCCGCCTTCAAATAATTTCTTCCAGATTTTGGTTGGGCTGGCGGCGGCGGAGGCGGCTGCTGCTGTTGAACTTGCTGCGGTTGTTACTGTTTGGTGCCACCAATACTGCAACTTTCCCTATCATCCTTCTCTAAATCAAGCTGCAGATCAAGAACCCTCTCCTTATTTCCAATAGGTTTCTGCCACAAAACCTGAAACATTTAGTGGACAATCTCCAGAGAGATTGAAAAAAAAGCAAAAGATATGAACAAAATAAAGAGGAGAGATTGAAAAAAAAAAGCAAAAGATATGAACAAAATAAAGAGTAAAAATTTAGAAACTAACCATCTTCTTCCGAGCAGAAGCATTGGAAGATGACGGAGAGATCGGAGCCGGTGATGCTACTACAACACTTGGTCTCGCTAGTGTCTCATCGTTCTTGCATGTTAAAAAATATATCACATTTGCAGGCGGAAAGCTCTTCCGATCACCGCCATAGAGAGAGAGAGAGAGAGGGAGAGAGAAAATCGTGAGAGAGAAGGCAAGGTCTGCCACTGTTACTGCTACTGCCGGAAGCAAGAGAAGGGAAAACCTATAAAACCCAAATAGGGAGAGAGAGAAAGTGCGAGAGAGGTGATGTGGGGAGAGCAAAAAGACAAAAAAAAAAAAAAAAAGAAAGATGATGGAGAGATCAGAGCCGGTGATGTTACTACAACACTTGGTCTCGCCGGTAATGTTGAAGCTTGCCAGTGAAGCTGCTAGCATTTTCATTGACAGGCTACGCGAAGAGGAGACAGGCCCGAAGGAGCTCTCCCTTCGAACTTGGAAAGAAGCATCTCGAACGGCAGGGAAAATCGAAAGGTGAAGGAGCTCTCTCGAAGAGGGACTCTCCCTTCGAACTTGGGAAGAAACATCTCGAAGAAATGGGAGAAGCATGCAATGGACACGCGTGTATCATACAATGGATACATGCATGAAATATTTGCACGAATAGATTTCGTTTCCTGAAAAAAGAAACCATTCATTCCAGATTAATATTTTTGCCTTTTGAGAAAATTGTATACCAAGGCATCATACAAAGGTATGAGAAATCAAAAAAGTATAGTAGCTACAGACCGTTACTCTATTAGTCATCCATTTACATCATCTACAAAAAAGAATTCTTTCCCATTCGTGCCCTTAAACACTTTATTCATTGAAATTTCGCCGCACCCTCCCAATCAATCTTTCTATTTATGTGATTGGTTGAGAAAAAATTCTATTGTCCCGCTCCAACCATGCAACCCAACACAATGCACCTAGCGAACACAAAGAATGTTCACTTTATTAGTGAGCCTCGTTTCTACTGCCAGTTTTGGCGATGATCACAGAGAGAATCGATAGAGTGGTTATTGCGCATGTGTTTTACTGTGAGTTTATCTGTATAAAAAGATTGATGAATCCACCACAGTATCTGTAATACCCATAAGACCTCCTTTAGAGGAACACCACCACTGGAGGAAGACAATTAGGAGCACTGCAAGAATTGCTGCTATAGGAAATGCCGCCACAACAACTTTCAACCATAGTTGCATTACCAGAATCTTATGGGGTTTATCTTCTCAGTCTCCGCATTTTCTTTTTTCCTATCTGTTTTGTCCCCTCCAAATGAAGACCTGTTACCTCTCTCTCCACACTTGGTGATCTAACCGACATTGCAGCCCCGTTACCTCTCTCTCCCTTTCTTTCCCTCTCGAAACAATTTCATGCATTCTTCTCTCCTTCCTCAACCACTTCTTCTGGTATCGGATAGAGTCTCTAACCATCACCGCAATATCAGCTCAGATCGTTGTGGCCCCACTTGAGCGCCTAATGGCGTCGATGATCACCAATCCTCTCATTTTAAGGCTTCCCAGTGGAAGTTCACACTGAATCCGGGACCCTTTAATGTCAAAGAGCACGTGTTGATCACCATCTTTGCCAACTCGGAGCCGGGACGGTTTACGCCGTACACATCGTCACCGCTGTTAAGATGTTCTACAAGAAGAACATTACCTTCTTCGTCTCCCTTGTCGTTGTTATAACAACCCAGGTAGCTATTAGTTAGGTGTTTCTTCATTCTTCTTATATGGTGGCCTGCCAATCTCGTCCATGTGTCATTACTCAGGTATGTATCTCTTCGTACCCCCAGTTTTTCGGTTGACCGGTGCCTCAGTTTGCCGACGACTCTCCATAAAGTCCGGCAAGGTTGATGGAGATGGCTGATGGATTCAGACTCTTTGTTGCAGCTCTGGGGCTTGGATTGCATTAAATAAAAGAATTATGTAGTAGAAATACAATTCAAAGTAACAAGTCAGCTCCAACAAGAGCTCCCAACAGAGAGACAACTATAGGTTCCTTGATTCAACCTGCAGAGAATATACCCAATAATCAAATAACTAAGTTTAACAAACTATTGCGCTAAATTAACCAATCAAATCATAGAAGAGAGAAGAACTCGTACCTTCGTCATTCTCTCAACAGCCAGGCCATTGACAACAAGGGCTTCTCCTCTTTCTTTCTCTCACCCTCTCCCTGCCCTGCTCTCCCCTGTTCCACCGTCCACACCAGTGACAGTTTGAACGACGGTTTCTCCCCTTTCTTTCTCTCGCTCTCTCCATGCCTCTGACAGTTTGGTTGGACTGTATTGTGTGTGGAGATTCCGAAATTTCTATCTAGCGATGGGAGATGATGTACGGTGGATCTCAAGCATTACCAAAGCACATGAGTACGTTGTTTCCTTCGAGCTTCATACATCTGAAAGAACTGCAGTCGAAGAGCAGAGAGGCCATGGATTCAGATTTGCATCTTCAACATCAACAACAGTAGAGGCAACAACTGAGCTCGGGTCTGATGTGGTATTGCTTTGCTCCAACCTCATTCTTTGCAAATTTCATCGACAGTAGTGGCGGTGGCGTTGACGAAGGATGCGAAGGTTTAAGGATTCAACGGAAGGATAAAATTGACATTTCATCTCTTTTGTCAGTATTTAACGTCAATGGCAATTTTCTATTTATAGTCAAACAGTAGGTGTACTAATATATTAACTAAATAAGGGTAATTTAAGAAATTTGTCTTAAAAGGATAAGGGATTATGGTAGATAGGAAAGGAAAATAAAAAACTATAAAAGCGTTATAAAAATTAAGAGGGCACCAGAAAACCAAAAGAAGGGAACCGGGAGAACTAGAAAACTAAAAAGGATTGCAGGATTGGAATCTGCGTGAACCTGCCAATGAGGGACGACCGCGTTGTCCAGGCATGGATGGACTACTTTAACAGGGTTTTGGCCGTTAGTTGGCTATGTGGTTGAACCGGGGCACAAAACAACAAAAATCAAATTAAACCCCCTCTCACAGTTAGAACCATCCTTCCCCTTTCTACTTTTTTCTTTTCTCCTCCCATCAAAGTCCAAACCCTCCTACTACTCCATACACTGGCCTTCATCCGTCGGTGGTGAGAGCTCCGGCGGTATGCTCTTCTTCTTCTTACGGAGGTGGTTCTGATTCCTTGTTTGGACAGATTGAAGGTGACCCCGAACCTCAACTCACACCGGCACAAGGCTCTCTTATCTGGGTATTATGCTTCTTGAACGCAAAGAACTCCACAAAAATTATGCAAGATATTACATGGCATAGATCCACTTCTTCTCAATCTTCATCCTGCAAGAGTTTCCTTGCATCCAGTTCCAAAGGTTCTTCCACATGGACAAATTTCAAGAACGACCTCTTTGAAGACTATGGAGGAATGGAATCAGGGGGCCATTCACTGACACTAGGAAGGCTATACGCTTGGGAGAAGAAACTATATGAGGAAGTGAAGGTAAAAAGTTTTCAAGTACCCCTTCACCCACATGAAGTTTTGAACTCTTATCCCACAACCTATTATAGTGATTTCTTATTTGAACAGAGAACACATTTGTAAGCCCGGGTTCACTCACCTTGGTTCGCCTAAACAAAGAGTATAGAGAGCCTTGTGTCGGTGTGAGTTGAGGTTCGGGGTCACCTTTAATGTGTCCAAACAGAGAACTAGAACCACCTTCATAGGAAGAAGAAGAAGAAGAAGAAGAAGAAGAAGAAGAGGAGGAGGAGGAGAGTGTAAAACTCAGTAACATGGAATTGACGAAGAAAAAGTAGTAATTCCTTCATTAAAATAATCAAGTATATATAGGCATTTATTACAAGAAGCCAAAAGAGACTGACATGGCATTTACAAAAACAACCAGATCTGTAACCGATTAATAGATTGGTAACAAACTTCTTCCAAGAGTAAACTTCATCGCAGCTAAAGCTCATTGCAAGTTTCTCATCACAACCTGCGTCAACTAGGTATACTGGGTATTCTCCTAATACCCCCCCCCCCTTCAAGTTGGAGCATGAGGATTAAAAATTCCCAACTTGGGTAATAAATAAGCAAATCTATCTTGGCCAACAGCTTTGGTAAAGATATCTACAAGCTGAGCTGATGTAGGAAGATGAGCAGTAGTTATAGCTTTAGACTGAAGGTGCTCTCGTATGAAATGACAATCTATTTCAATGTGTTTGGTGCGCTCATGGAATACTGGATTAGCAGCGATGTGGAGTGTTGCCTTGTTGTCACAGTATAACTGCATCGGTTGTGGATGAAAGAGACCAAGATCAGAGAAGACTTACTTCAGCCATAATAGTTTGCTGGTGGCAGCTGCCATTGCACGATACTTTGCTTCAGCAGAAGAGCGGGCCACTATTGCTTGCTTCTTGCTCTTCCATGACAAAGGAGATTGTCCTAGGGTTGTGAGATAGTCGGTGATGGATTTTCGTGTGGTTGGGCAACCAGCCCAATCTGAGCCACAATAAGTTCGCAAATGGAGATCACAATCAGCCGAAAGAAGTATTCCTTGCTCTGGTGTAGCCTTCAAGTATTGAAGGATGTGCATTGCAATATCCAAATGTTGTTATCTAGGATAACTCATAAATTGACTTGGAATGTGAATTAAATAAGTGAGTTCTGGTCTCATAATGGTGAGATAGAGAAGACGACCCCCAAGTCATCTGTACTGATTGGGTTGAGTAATTGGCTCACCGGATTCTGGTCCCAAATGATGTTGTTGTGTAATGGGAAACATACTAGGTTTGCATCCTAGCATGCATGCATCCTGAAGGATGTCAGGGGTATATTTCCTTTGACAGAGAAAAATGCTGGAAGAAGACCGAGAGATATCAATGCCAAGAAAATATGAAGGACGCTAAGGTCATTGATTGGAAAACACTATCGTAGGTAGTCCTTAAGAGCAGAAATACGGGTTGGGTCATTTTGATAATCACCAAGTCATCAACATATGCAAGTACCACAAGAATGTTGTCTGATTGGACTGAAGTAAAGAAGGTATTATTAGCAATTGATTACTTGAAGCTCCGTTGGCAAAAAGCATGAGCTAAAGTTTCAAACCAATTGCGCGAGGCTTGCTTAAGGACATAAATGGATATGTTCAAGTGACATGCTCATTGATCCTTAGGAGGCAAGAGTCCTGGTAGAGGCACCATGTAAATTTCTTTATGGAGAGTACCATGGAGGAACGCATTGTTTACGTCCATCTGATGTAGTTCCCAATTTCAGGTTGCAGCCAGTGCTAAGAGACAGCGTATTGTTACTAGCTTGGCAACTAGGGCATATGTCTCTGTATATTCAATGCCTTCAATTTGAGTATAGTTTTTTGCTACCAAGTAGGCTTTGTAACGCTCAACAGTTCCATTAGACTTGTATTTGACTTTGTAGGCCCAACGACACCCAATGAGAGTTTTTCCCGGTGGTAGGTTAGTCAAGGTCCAGGTATGAGTGCGCTCAAGTGCAGATAGTTCAACTGACATAGCTTGTTTCCAACAGTCATGTTTGCTGGCTTCATCATAATAAGAAGGCTCAAGTTGTGTAGAGGGGATTGAACTCATAGTTAAAAAATTGGAGATTGGGTGGTGGGTGCTGCATGAATTAGTTTGTGACTTAAGTGTTGGGAAAATGTAGTCAGCCAGGTTTGGTGGAGGTTTTTTGGAGCAAAGTGGGTGATGGTTATGTGAAGTTGAAGGGCTAGGAACAGCAAGTTTAGAAGTTGGCGAAGTGATGAAGTCCATGTCACTATTGTGTTCGGGCAATTTTGAATTAATAGGGGGTTGTGAGTTGTCACAAACTGGTTCAGTTCTAGGTGTTTGACTAGGAACTGTATCACCGATTGTTGGTAGAGGCATGATTGATAGTGGGGATGGGTCCAAAGACATGTCCTCATCAACAAAGGGAAATTTGTGTTCAAAGAAAATCACATCTCTAGACACAAATATCTGCTTGGTTGTCAAGTCATATAATCTGTATCATTTTTTACCATTAGTATACCTGACTAACACACATTTAGTGGCACAGGTATCAAATTTATCACACCCACGTCGGGATGTACTTGCATAGAAGAGGCAACCAAATGTTTGGAAATGATTATATGAAGGAGGCTTGATGAAAAGAAGTTCATATGGTGATTCCCCATCAAGTATTGGAATAGACAAGTGATTAATGATGTAAGTTGTTGTCAGAATACATTCTCCCCATAACTTGATTGGCAAGTGCGCTTGGAACCGTAAGGCCCTTGCTATCTCAAGTAAGTGTCGATGCTTGCGCTCAATGACCCCATTCTATTGAGGGGTGTCTATGCAAGATGTTTGATGTAAGATTCCATGTGTTGTCAAGAAATCTTGAACAAGTCTCGAGAGAAATTCAGATCCATTACCCGAATGGATATACTTAACTTGGGCATTGAACTGGGTTTTCACCATTTCACAAAACATTACAAGAAAAGAACACACATCTTATTTATATCGTAATAAGTATACCCATGTAGCTCGAGTACAATTGTCTACAATTGCCAAGAAATAATGAGCTAGGGTTGTTCATAAGAATGTCCAACCCGACCAAACCGACCAACCAGGACCGATCCAACCCGAGTTGGTCGGGTTTTCATCAGTACCGGTCGATTTCGGGTTGGGCAAATATATAAATCGATATTTTGGGTCGGTTTCGGTTTTCTTGTAACCTGAACCGAACCGAACTAGTCTTAGTTCCTAGTTTGAGTAGTTTCCTACTTAATTATAACTAGTTTTCTACTAGAACTAGAAGGCCCATTAGGCAATTACAATTAGAATAGGCAATCTATCCTAGTTTCCAACTTTCTATAATCTTTTACACCAAATAGGCAACCCATTAGGCAATTACAATTAGAATTCAATTAAGTGTCCTTTTGTACAGGAGCAAAACCGAAACCGACCCAACCCGACTCAAACCGACCAGGTCGATTTGGCCTATTAGTGGGTCGGTTTCGGTTTCCACCTCAGGTAACCCGACCAGGTCGGGTCGGTTGGGAAAACTCCAATAAATCGACCCAACCCGACCCGTGAACACCCCTATAATGAGCTATAGAATAAGATGGAGTGCGATAGCCTCCCCAAATATCACAATGCATGAGTGTAAACTGGGCATCAGATCTAGTATGACTAATAGGAAAAGAAGGATGCATTTGTTTTACTCGAAAGCATATGTCGGAACAATCATCTTTTGGTGCAGTAATGTGTAGTTCCGGAATCAAAGCAAGTTTCTCATAAGAAGCATGTCCCAACCTTGAATGCCATATGAGTGGATCATGTGCGTGCGTACTGTGCAAAGAGATGGTTGATGGAAAGGAAGTGGAGTGATATAGCCCATCACGCATCCAGCCCACACCAATCAGCTTCTTGGATGTCAAGTCCTGAAGGGCACAGAAAGTGGGAAAGAACAATATAGCACAATTAAGGTCTTTGGTAAGTTTACCCATAGATATAAGATTGCATTGAAATCCCGACATGAATAAAACATCCTTTAATACCTGATTTGAAGACAACGCTATGTCACTTTGTGACTGAACCGATAACATTGTTTCCATTTGGCAGCTGAACCGGTTTCAGTGTTGATGCCAATGTAATAGATGTAGTAGCAAATTCAGAATTAGCGGGAACCATGTGATCTGAGGCCCTACTATCCAAAAGCCAAGAAAGGGTAGTGAATTTATCTGCAAAGTTGGCAGAGAAAGTATGTTTAACTTTGTTTATAAGATCAGATAGATTGCTGATAGTGCTTAATAACTGTTGATACTGTTCCTTGGATAGGTTGGAAACCGGAGAGTCTCCTTGGACTAAGTTTGTGCCAGGAGCAGCCTTTTCTTGATTGCCAGTGCTGTTCTTGGGTGTGGACTTTGATCGAGTTCCCTAATTTGGTGGATTCCCGAACAATTCAAAATAGCGGTCCTTGCTGTGGCCCTATTTCTTGCAGTGATCACAACGAATCTTGGGCTTTTCTTTTCCTCCTTTTGGGTTGAATTTTGGACTTGCCACATGAAAAGCAACATCCTCTGTAGTTGGACCGTGTTGAGCAATTAAAGACCGATGTCTTTCTTCTTGTGATACAAGTGCATAGACTCTACTAATGCTCGGTAGAGGGTCCATGCTCAAAATGCTCGATCTGATATTGTTAAATTTTTCATTTAGACCCAACAAAAACTAATACACCACACCTTATCTCTTTCTCGTTCTGTAACAAAATTTTTCTGGATTCCACAAGTACACAACCCATAGGTACATAATGGCCCGACCATGTAGGCTGACAATTCATCCCAAATTGCCTAGAGTTTTGAGAAGCAAACAAAGACATGGAGACTTTCTTGCCCGAGCAACATGAGTTCTCTCTTGAGATGAAAGATCCTTGGTGCATTTCCTCGTGAGAACCTTTCTTCCAAATCTTTCCACATTTCTTGAGCGTTTTCAGCATAGGCTACGCTTTCATGGAGATCTTTGGCTAAAGCATTGAAGATCCATGACACCACCATGGAATTACATTTCGACTAAGCGAGGAACTTTGCCTAATTTGCCGGATCTGGCTTCTGAATCATTCCATTCACAAATCCAATCTTGTTCTTGGCGTTGAGAGCATTAGTCATTGCTCTTCGCCAAGTCATATAGTTGTCTCCATTAAGAAGACAAGAAACAAGCACTGTGCCAGGGCTGTTAGAAGGATGGAGGTAGAACGGATCACCAAAAGAGGAGATTTGATCAGCGATAGTGAATATGGTGTTTCCACTTCTATTCACGGTCATCCTTGTTGATGGCGAAAAAGGGCAAAACAAGAATAAGAAGAAGACTGGAGTCAAGAAAGGCAAAACAAGGAGTAAAAGAAGACTGGAATCAAGAATCAGAATTTTCCGATAGGGCCTAGGGCTCTGATACCATGTAAAACTCAGTAACACGGAATTGACAAAAACAAAGTAGTAATTCCTTCATTAAAATAATAAAGTATATATAGGCATTTATTACAATAAGCCAAAAGAGGATTACGTGGCATTTACAAAAACAACCAAAACAAATCCGTAACCGATTAATGGATTAGTAACAAACTTATTCCGAGAGTAAACTTCATCACAGCTAAAGCTCATCGCAAGAGTAAAGTTCATTGCAACTTGCGTCAGCTGGGTTTATGGGGTATTCTCTTAATAAAGAGCGTACTACTGGAGCTCTCACCGGTGTGTAGGGTAAGAGGGTTTAGTGGGAGGAGAAAAGAAATAGAAAGGGAAAGGAGGGTTCGAATTGTGAAGGGTTTAATTTGATTTTTGTCATTTTGTGCCCCGGTTCAACCACATAGCTAACTAACGGCCAAAACCCCGTTAGGCTCCATTTGGTTTGTAGGATGGGGATGAGGAGAAAAATGGAATATTCTAAAAATATTCCTTTTTCTCTCATTTGTTTTGAGGGAAATAGAGGGATGGGATGAGAAAAATGTGGGGTATCAAATCCTAAAACCATGGGTTTGGGGTCACACCAAAATTGCGATCCGAGTGGAAATTTTGAGAAATCACTATTACCATCGACGACGAACAAATGAGGGAACTAACAATGATGAACAAAGGAGGGAGAGAACCAATGCCTTTCCCGTTACCATCGGTGATCTTCTACCTCCCCTTCCCCGTTCTAACCCAGAAGCAGAGCAGTGGCGGCAGTACCCCCTCTCAGCCACTCCCTTCCTCCCTCTCTCCTCTCTTCTTCTCTTTCTTCTTCTTCTTCTTCTTCTTCTTCTTCTTCTTCTTCTTCTGTCTTTTGTTTTTCACCCAGGAAAAACATTGTTCATCGTCTTCTCGACAACGAACACAGGAAATACCAACGGCGATGACTATGATCATTTACCCTCTAGTACCTCTCCATTCATCGTCTTCACTTTCTACCGGCAAACTACTATCTCTGGCGACACTGTTCGCTTTCCAATGGTGACCAACGACAGTTCATCGTCTTCGCTTTCTGTCGATGAACTACTCTTCATCTTCATCTTGGTGAAAGAGAGCACCCCACAACGGCTTCCTCTTTATCACATTCTTTTTCCCATTATTTTCCCATGTATAAAACCAATAATGAAACTGTAAATTTTTAGACTTTTTCATCCCATCCCATCCCATCCCATCCCATCCCTATCCCACAATACAAGAGAGAATACCGAGAATAGCCTTTTGTGTTACTCGGGAGAACGGAGAGAGAGACATTAATGCTTCACAGAGGGCCATCAAAAGGCCGCAAGGCAACGACCCAGTTGGTGGGACCGTGGGACTGTGGGAATAAGTAGTAGGTTTGCCGAGAAAAATACAAGCTTCACCAACTGCTCAAGATATTGATCGTTAACGCTGCTCAAAATCTTTCTTCATTCTTTGATCTACCTCTGTAAATCAGAGTCCGGAACTGCTAGTAACAAGCATTGGTAGGTACGTTAAAGTTTTGTGCACTTATTTGGAAGTTTTCAAAACATGATATTGCAAGTTTCTGATTGTTGAGGAAATGTGGCACAAGAAATCAGTTATTTCAAATATACGTTCTATCTACACCAGCCGTTGCCTCTCCAGCTCTGCTGACCAACTCTCCGCCTTCGATCCCTTCCTGCGTCACCCCTCCCACCATCAGCTTTCCACCATCAATTCCAAAGAGGAGCTTCTCAAGTCCTACCAAGTCACTCCGCCCATCAAACCATGGCCCCTGCGCCTCTACCCCAAGCGTCTTGTCTCCATGATTAACCGCCAGCAGAACCTCGACCTTGCCCTCCAGATATTCGACCATGCCGGTAAATTCCACCCTGGTTTCTCCCATAACTACGATACCTACAACGCCATGATCGAGAAGCTTGCTCGAGCTCGAGCTTTCGAACCCATGGAAACCCTAATGTCTCAGTTGCACAGATCCCAAATCAAATGTGGTGAAAATTTGTTTGTAACGGTTATCCGAAACTATGGTATCGCCAGCCGACCCAAATGGGCGATTCGAACTTTCCTCCGGATCACTGACTTCGGTGTTGAGCGGTCGGTGAGACCCTTCAATACGCTCTTGAACGCACTTATCCAAAATAGACGGTACGATTGGGTCCATTTGATGTTTAAGAATTGTAAACACAAGTTTGGAATCGTCCCTAATGTCTTCACCTGTAACATTTTGATCAAAGCTTTGATCAAGAAGAACGATTTAGAAGGATCAATTAAGGTTTTAGATGAAATGCCGGCTATGGGAATGATTCCCAACCTCATGACCTATACAACGATATTAGGCGGTTATTGTTCACGCGGTGATATGATCGGAGCCAAGAAGATTTTCGATGAAATTCTGGATCGAGGGTGGGTTCCGGATGCGATTACCTATACTGTGTTGATGGATGGGTTTTGTAAGCAAGGGAGGCTGGTCGATGCTGTTAAGATCATGGATGATATGGAAGAGAATGGCGTTGATCCAAACGAGGTTACATATGGAGTCATGATTGAAGCTTTCTGTAAAGAGAAGAAATCTGGTGAAGCCCTGAATCTGCTCGATGATATGCTTGAGAAGAAATTTATACCGAGCTCATCGCTCTGTTGTAAAGTTATTGATGTCTTATGCGAGGAGGGGAAGGTCGAAGATGCTTGTGTTGTCTGGAAAAAGCTACTGAAGAAAAATTGCACCCCAGATAATGCAATATCTAGCACACTTATATATTGGCTTTGTAAGAAAGGGAAGGTTTTGGAAGCCAGGAAGTTGTTTGATGAATTTGAAAAGAGTTCAATCCCTAGTGTTTTGACATATAATACACTTATTTCTGGGATGTGTGAGAGAGGGGAGTTGCAGGAGGCTGGGAGGTTGTGGGATGATATGGTGGATAAGGGATGTTCACCCAATGCTTTCACTTATAACATGTTAATTAAGGGATTCTGTACAGTTGGTAAGGCAAGGGAGGGAGTTAGAGTTTTGGAGGAGATGTTGGACAAAGGTTGCATACCGAATAAATCAACATATTCAATCTTGGTTGATGGGCTTTTCGAGTCAGGCATGAATGAGGATATTACTAAGATCCTTCTTATGGCAACTTCAAGAGGAGGGTTTCTCCTAGATTCTGACTCTTGGAGAGTCCTCTTAACCAAGGTTGCTAGTGGACCAGAGAACTGGAGAGTCATTCTTGAGGAGCTATTGTTAGAGAATGCAAGTTAGAGATGGCTTGATCTAAAATGGTTTTCTCTAGACAATTTTGGCAAACTAAGTAGGGTTACGGGATTTAACTACGGGGATCAGTTCAGAGCTATATTGTTGCTCGGAAGATGTATAGGATTTTTAAATTGTATTGTCACCATTCTCATTTGGAGAAGTAAATTATGATTATTCGTTCAGTATTCTTCAGTTTTTGATCTGCATCCTTCCCTGCAAACATGCTTAATGGGGAACCCTACTTATTTATGCTTAAGCCTGTTCAGAGTTTACAATTTTTAACATCCAAAGATCTGTGGATCATGAGATAAATAGTCTAGATAGGATTCCAGGTCTCTGAAATCTTTTAAGAATTTGTACAAGCCTCATGTGGATGTGGTGGCTTAATGGAGAAGCAAAAACAGCTGCGAGAAGTGAGGATGGGTTGTTTTTATTCTGACTTCTGAACAGTTGGATGAGGAAAATTGTAAGCTGTAGGGTTGGTAAATATTGGACTTGGGTCAGCTGCTTGATGTTGAACTGGAAATGACTTCCCAAGCAACAAAATATTCACAAGTTTGGCACATTGTATTCAGTTCAGGTCATGGACTTCCCATTTGAAGAAAGAAATTGTTACAAAGCTTTCATTCTCCAACATGTAACAGCATCAGGATATAATCTAGTGTATGGACAACCTCACTGGGATCCCTTTCTTGCCTAACAATGATACTGCTGTTTTATGTTTATATCTACCATAATTAGCCATTTCAACATGGTTGTATTGATTCAAGGTTGTATATCTGATGCAATGCGGAATTTTTGTTTACTGTGTGGTTTAACAGCATGTACCTTTTTCAGGAGACATTTTCTTTTGTTATTGTTATTCTTTATATTCACTCCATGTGCTTCTTCACTTTTTTGCAATATAACCTGTGTTAAAAATAAGAATAAAACCTTGGCATAAACCAGGCTTCACATTGTGTAGATAATGCAATGAGCATTTTGAGTGGTTGCTTTTTCCTCAATGCTAATGTTTTTCCCAAGTATCCACACCAAAGGCTGAACTCTTCCTGAACATATGTTCTGAATAAGAATAACCTGCAGTATACTTTATGCTTGAAGTTCTATGTGATAGCTACAGGTATAGTTCACTTATTTTGATATTGTCAGCCAGCATCAATAAAGTTTAGGTGTATCAGAAGCAATAATCTTGACAATTCTGCAGCCAGAATATGCTTCATGGCAGTGAACCAATATTTTTTTTTTATTGGAAACGTTAGCTTCCATTAAAACAACATATAAAAACATACAATGTTAACCACTCACAGCATGAGTGTTGACCCCATATTTTTTTCTCAAGGTTTACAACACACCCCGAAAAAGGTTCTCCCTAAGGTTCCCCCTGCTTTGCCAAAGTATCAGCCAAATCGTTGGCTGACCTCCTTGACCAATTGAAAAGTACTCCAGCTTCCCTTGCTAAGCAAAAAATCTCCCTCATTTGCTGTCTAAACATCCACAACTCAAGCTTTTTGTCTGCAGCCATCCTATTAACAGCTTAGAGGCCCCCTCCATCTCAAAATTTTGATTTCCCCCCATTGCTTGGATAGCCTCAAAGGCTCAAACCTTGAAGTAAGACCATAATCTCAGCTCTTAATGAATCCCCCACACATATTGGGTCAGCGTATAATGCTATCAGCCTACCCTTTGTTGTGCTGCGGGTGACCATTGAGCCTGAACCACATTCTTTGTATTTGAAGAATTTGCCACTACCGACCATCCTCTAAAAATGTCCTCAACTGAATAATCTTTGAATAACTCAGTTGATTTCAGCCAATGTATGACCTTAATAAGTATGCAGTCAATGACTTGCTCCTTAGATCTCTCTAACCCTTGGAAGATTCTATTATTCCTCTCTTCCCATATTAACCAAAGGATAGCTGCTCTTGTGGCTCTCTGCCCGTTTACTTTGGTAGTCTAAAAATACTTGCTTCAAAAAGGCTTACCACATCCGAAGGAGGGGTCCACCTGCAACCAAAGAGAACAAAACCAATTCCAGACAAAAGAAGCAAAAGGACAAGATAATAGTAGGTGTGTAATTGTCTCACCACAACCCAAGGAAAGGCAACAAATAGAAAGTTGAGGGGGAACAAATAAGTATGGCAGTGAACCAATATGAAAAATTGTTATTTTAGGTTGTGTTTGGTTTGAGAGAAAATAAGAGAAAACAGAAAGTTGAGGGGAGGTTCTCAAGGAATTTTACAAATTTTGTTAACAATTTTCTGTTTTTCTCTTATATTCTTTCAAATCAAACATGCCCTAAAGTATTTGGTGGAAAAAATGGATTTTTATTTCACCAAAACAGTAATCAGGTTTCAGATTTCACTTAAGAGCAGTCAAGGCTATAAGAGAAGTTGTCTAACAATCTCTGTACTCTGCCAAGATTTTAGAATGCAGAATGGGTGATAGGAATCAATCAGCACCCTTGAAGACTTATTCTAGAAAGAAGAAGGCCTTACAACAGGTCTTGATATGGCATAGTGATGGTACTTGGGATTTGGACTGAATTGAACAAGGGTATTTTTGTCATTTTTTCAATTTTCTGTGGGGTCCAATGATAGGGTTTAATTTGTCTAGTTATAGTTTGTTTATATTTAAAATTTCAGAGTCATTGCATAAGTAGGATTAGAGTTATTGAGATTGAGTGTTCTTTGAATTGAAATAGGATATAACATCTTAGTTTGAGTCCTACTAGGATTATTGAGTCTAATAGTTTGATTCCTAAGACTATTATGAGCCTAACAGTTTGGCTCCTAGGATTATTATTGAGTTTTATTCAGCTTATACTAGCTATGGTGAATGATTCCCATGCCCTAGAGTGATTCTAGGCACCCTGTGAGTGATTCCAAGGTTCTAAATATCGATACGCCTGATATGCCGCTAGGGGCATATTGGGATTTTTTTTGGTACTTTTTTATTATTTTTTTAAATCTGGTTCAGGGGGGTTGGTTTAAGGTTCCTCCACCCCCTGAACCGGTCAAAACCCTGATACACCCTCTGTATGGGCGTATCGGGGTGCTCCCGATACGATATGTATCGACCGATACGGGCCGATAAGTAATGATTTTTTGAACCCTGAGTGATTCCAGGTATTTTCTCTCTTCTTTCTCTCCCTATTTTCTTTCCTATTCCTTCAAGAAACCATTACAATCATCAACAGTCATAAAATTCTGATACAAGAAGATCATTCACATTCTCTAAGGACTAGAACTGAGCTGGTCCTACATTAGTTGGTATCAAAGCCAAGGTTATAGACTGTTATTATCATGGCTACACGTAGTGGCAAGCAGTACAGGGGTCGGCTGACTGATACACAAAGAGATTCATTGATTTCTACCCTTTGCAAGAGAGTTGAAACCCTTGAAGCACAAGTAAAAGAACTTCAAGAAGATTCAAGAAGAAGAAATCCAGATGAAAGGGATGGAGGACGAAACAACGGAGCTGTCCATGAAGATGATAATGGTGAAGATGTAGGATCTGTTAATCTTAGAAGACGACAAAGAGCTGCAAACTGCACAAAGGTACCACCACCTGCACAAGCTAATCGAACCCGAAATACCCATGAAGGGATTGATCAAGAAGCACCTCTCACAAATCTATTTGATGAGATGATGGAGCAAGCTGAACATGGTGGTTATGTAGATGATATAACCAAGAAGGCAAAGGTGGATGTTTCTGATTTCAATGGAGATTTAGACCCTCAATCTTTTTCAGATTGGCTGGCTGCACTAGAGGAATATTTTGACTGGTATGACATGACTGATGATTCGAGGATCAGATTTGCACATATGAAGCTTGGTGGTCATGCTAAAGTATGGTGGAGAAGCATGGAGTGGCGATTGGAGAATGGAGGTGATGGTCCTATTTCTACATGGTCAGAAATGAAGAAACATTTGAGAGACAAGTACCTCCCAATGGACTTCCAAGATGAGTTATATGAGGAATTGACTAACCTTAAGCAAGGTACGCTATCTGTAGTTGAATACATGTGTAAATTTGATGAATTATCTATTAGATGTGATACTATTGAAAGTAAGAGGCAAAAGTTGGCTCGATTCAAGAATGGACTATGGGCTGAAATTAAGAAAGAGATGGTAACTGCTCGAGTCTTTGACTTAGAGGATGCCTACCAAGTTGCTGTCAAAATTGAGAAGACTTTAAAGCAAACCAATGCAAGGCAATTTGTATCACAAATTGGGGAGTATGCAGCTCGTAAGCAAGCTGATGGGGGAAAGACTTCTAGGCCAGCATATTCTAATGCCAGCCTGATAGTGGTGTTGTTACTCAGAAAAAAAACAGCCTGATTCTAGTTGTTTTAGATGTGGAGGAAAGGGCCATATGGCTTACCAATGGCCTACCAAAAGCCTTAATATCATTTATGAAGATGGCATTGAAGCGGTAGGTGACCCGGGTGATGACTTAGCTGAAGAAGAGGATTATTCCTTCACTGATGATGATGCTTGAGATGAAGACAGCAACTATATAGGTGTAGTTAGGCGTATTCTTACATCCCCAAAGGAAGAAATCAAGGAAGATTGGCTTCGTGCAGCAATATTTCAAACTATAGTAAAGAGTGGAGACAAGTATTGTAAGCTCATCATAGATGGTGGAAGTAGTATGAATGTGATTTCTGAAGTCACTATGGTTCGGCTAAAGTTAACACCACAACCACATCCACAACCATACAAAATTGCATTGAGCAATGATTTATACAAGGCTAGAGTTGATATTCATTGACGATTGGCATATTATCAAGAGGGGGACATGGTTATGGTATGTATACGGCCAGAATGTCTTCCTAAAGGTGTGTACAAGAAGCTCCACTCAAAGAGTGTCGGTCCTTACAAAATCATCAAGAAGATAAGTTCTAATGTCTATGTTCTAGAGTTGCCAGATGACATGAGAATTAGTCCTATCTTCAATGTTGAGGACTTGACTCCTTACCATGGACATGTGGATTCTTTGAGACTCCTATACCTAAATTGCCAACTATTGCAGCTCCAAATGACATTCCAGAGGATGTTTTAGATAAGGAGGGTATCAGAAATTCCTTGTCAAGTGGAAAGGCAAGCCTATGTCTAAGAGTTCTTGGATCACTGCTGAAGACTTTCATCGTCTCAACCCAGATCTTTATGAAAGGTACTGGGCTTTTAACTCGCCAAGGTCAAGTTCTTTTAAGCTAGGGAGAGACGATAGGAATCGATCAACACCCATGAAGACTTATTCTAGAAAGAAGAAGGCCTTACAATAGTTTCTGATATGGCATAGTGATGGTATTTGGGATTTGGACTAAATTGAACACCAAGGGTATTTTTGTCATTTTTTGCAATTTTTTGTGGGGTCCAATGATAGGGTTTAATTTGTCTAGTTATAGTTTTTTTTTTTATATTTAAAATTTCAGAATCATTGCATAAGTAGTTTTAGAGTTATTGAGTCTTTGAATTGAAATAGGATATAACAACTTAGTTTGAGTCCTACTAGGATTATTGAGCGTAATAGTTTGACTCTAAGATATTACGAGTCTAAGGCCATGCTTGGGAGTGCTTAAAAATAAGTGCTTATTTGGGCCATTAAGCACTTATTGGTATTTGGGAAATAAGCCCGAAATAAGATAGCCGTTGACTGAA